AACAACTTTCATGGGCTGCGAATGAAATGGCTTCAATACTCAGAGAAGGGGACTCTACAACAATTGAGATTCGGATAGCATGGGCAGGACTTGCCATGGTTCACAAGGCTCAGCGAGCTCTGTACGCACTAAAGCAGGCAATAGAAGAGGATCCAGATGACGCTGTTTAGTGGCACCAGCTTGGCTTTCACAATCTTTGTACTCTACAGTTCAAGACATCTCAGAAGTACCTTAAGGCTGCAGTTGGCCGCAGCAAAGAATGCAGCTATGCATGATCAAATCTTGGTATCTCACTGCAGCTGTCTGAGGATGAACCCTCTTCATTGGAACCCGATCTAGGAGGGCAAAATCATTCCACCTATCCGGGATTCCTTTGACTGTGTTTCAAGACACCCATCCTGAATTCGAGCTTGAGGACAAGCTCGTAGTCTAGGAGGGGAGTAATGATGTGGGCGCCGGCAGTAGCAGCAGCAGTAATTTAGTGCAGCAGCAGCAGTAATTTAGTGTTATCAGCAGCAACAATTTAGTGTTCTCTTCCTATCTTATCTATTCAGTATTCTTACCTTATTTGCTTTCAGTAGCAGGGATTAGTAGGAGTCTTATCTATTTAGTTATCTTATCTTATCAGTTCAGTAGGATAGATTAAGGGAGTCTTATCTTATCTAATTACAGTTCTTATCTTATCTTATCAGTTTAATTGGATAGAGTAGTAGATTAGCAAGGAGTCTTCCTAAAAGTAGGATTGTACCTCTTGTAACCTCCCATTTAAGGAGCTGATATTATTCAATAAACATATCGAAAATTTCAGTCAAGAAAGAGAGCAAGGAGAGTTCAGTGATGACAAATCACCATTAGGGCACCAAGATAGGTTCATCAAGAGCAGGGAGGAACAAGGGAAAACAGGAGGTTTTCCTCGTGGACCGACACGTGACGAGATCCTATTCCCGGGCCCATAACAGGTGTCTTACTCTTTGTTTTCTGGGTAGGCTGGAGGATCTGAAATTGGATACATTCCCCTTCATATAATCTTGTCCAAACTCTTTTGGAGAAACATAAACAATCATTTAGAGCATTACTCCATTCTCTACCTTGTGTATTTGGAAGGAGAAAGATTGAAAGATATTTACAAGGAAATCAGGACCAGTGCACAGAATCTTCAAGGACATCAGAGGTTTTATTATGGATCAGGTACTAGTGCACAATGTTATGAATGGGACTAATTTTGATTTGAGGTGGAAAAATTACCGAGGCATTGAAGGCGTCTACCGTTATTTTTCTCTCCTTCTATATGGCTTTTACACATAAACATTACCAAAGTTATTATTAATTGATTAAAGATGTTGCTTATTGAAAAGAGAGAAGTGAGACGTGGAGATAGTCCTGCAAATGCAATTAAGAGCGCAGACTGCAGACATTTATTCACTTTATTCATTTGTTTATAAGAAGTGTAGATCTGTGCATGTTCTGATGCTTAGACTGTTTCTCTTTTCACAACAAACTTGTGGTTGTTTTGTCATCAAGTGTGGTTTAATTATTTGTTTATGGTTTCTGGTTTTGCATTCCTGTTGTGTATGTGTGTGGACACATATGTTCATGTTGCACATTTCTTTTCTTTTTGTCATGTTATTTCTTACTTTCCAGATTTTTATCATGTCAGGGGCCACTAAACCATTCTATGCTCCAGAGCCTTTTGATGTTGGGCGGATCTTACAAGCTGATATTGTTTCAGATGACCAAACAGTCTCGGTGACAACTGCTGGTCCCATTGATCCTGGTTTGGCCTTGGTCCTGGATCTGTAACATAATTGTTATAGTGGAAAATCATTAGTCTGAATATTTGGAATGTCTTGTAGCACAAATTTGTGCACATATTCATACACATGGTTGCCATGCTAGGTATCTGGATGCAACGCTGTATCAGGTTCAGCCTAAGAGATCTACAGGGACCAAAAATTAATATGATATTATCTCCGCCATTTAAAATAATATTATTTTCTGTTAGAAAGTGCAGTTTACCCTAGACATTTCAGGAAGCTCATCAGATTAGACGGTTAAAAATGTCTGATCATATACTAATAAAAAAAAAAAAATCTGATCATATTGATTTTTGGTCCTTGAAACCTCAGAAGCAGGGCTAATCCCTATTTCATGATTCCACTTGATGTATGCAATATGTAGTGGTTTGGTGCTTAAAGCTTAATTTTTTTGGCACTAAACACTCAAGCAAAAACTTCTTTTTCTGTAGTATGATATCAATTAATATATGAAAAACCTTTTGAAGAAAAATTTTTTCTACTTGAACATTTTGTTTATGAGAATTGTATCTCCACTTGTTTTTCTGTCTAGGCTAGTTAAAACTAATCCAAAATACAACTATTTTATACAGCTGCAGGATTGGGAAGCTATGTTGAAGCACTTGTCAGGAAACCTGAAACTGAATTCAATGTATGTTTTCTAACGTCCTCCAGTATTTAACCATTTGTTATTTTGATGATTATGCTGAACATTAATTGATTGTTGTGGTTATATACTGATTATTTTTAGTTGATGCAAGTAAAATAATGTTTTGAGTTAACATGTATCAATGGAGAACTTAATTTTAGTTAGCTCTTTGTTTGGATGAGTTGCCAGACAATGTGTTGTATTTGTAGAATATACAACATTGGAATCTTTTACTTTAGTAGCTTAAATGGTGGCTTAGAAGTGCTCAATGTGTTTCCTGCTTTACCCTCTATATATTTGACGAATTTTTGCCCCTTGTTTTTTTGGCCTTCTTTAACTGAGAAAAGTTGAAAACTTCCAATGCTTATTATCGTTTAGAAGGGGGGTTCAACATATTATGCAGTAAGAAAAGTGGACTGGATAAGCTAGTACTGTTGTAAAAAATAGATGGCTGGACTGAAATAAACTCTACTGATGCACAAATATATCAAATACATATAATAAATAAAATAATAGTACTTGTTTGGTGAATACAATCTTATCTGGAAATTGAGACAATCTTGCCTGAAGTGAATCCTGTCATTTCTGTACTTGGGGATCATGAAGTTGATGTGAGGTATGCTGTAGTAGCATTTTTTTTTGATCAATAACACTTTCATTAATTCATCAGTAGAAAATTTACAAGTGGAAGACAAACACACTTATCTTCCAAGAGTCACAAAGAGCTTCAAGAAAGGAMAAAAAGAAAAAGAGAAAAAGACACTAACGTTACAGCTTAGCCCAAAACAAAGAATCCCTTTCTACCCCTTGTTTAGCTAAACCGTCAGCTAGGGAATTAGC